ACATAACTGAGCGAATGACACTTAATGACAGTTGTCATAAACATGCATAAAAAACCTTCATAGTCATGACATGTCATGTCATGATTATGTAGGTGTCATGTCATGATTATGAAGGTGTCATGTCAGTCTTATGCACACCCCTTCAAGTAAAGTGTAACCAGATTTCCTTATCACTTTGTGTTGTTACATATTTGATCCAGTGTAAATTTGTGAAGTTAATATTTCTTTCCTCTTCTTAAACACAAGGCATTATATTTAGTTATTATTTTTTGGATTACAGGAGTGCCGTCAGTTGAGAAACTTCTCCTCTCTGAGAGCCATCTTATCTGCTCTTCAGTGCAATGCTGTTTACCGGCTAAAGAAAACCTGGGCGGCAATCAGCAGGTAGTGTTTTCTGATCCTGACATGAATAGTTGCTAAACCTGTAGTGCACATATTAAATTTGCACAACACATGGTATTAAATTTAAATGGATAATATATGTCATTTCAGGGAGAGTATGGCTGCCTTCGATCTCCTGTGCGACACATTTCCTGATGAGAACTGTGTGCTGGTCAATCGAGAGATACTTGTAGAGGTATGCTTCACAGATTTGCCTGCATGTTTTAAACCTGTTGTCTATTCTAATCTAAAATTTTACATGTACACTTTTATTCAAGTTTGGGGTCAGTAAGATTTTAATGTTTTTGATAGAAGTCTCTTATGCCCACTAAGGGTGTATTCACACCTGTCTTGTTTGGTTCGATTGAATCGAACTCAAGTTCGTTTCCCCCTTTGGTGCGGATCTTTTGGGCAGGTGTGAATACAGCAATCGCACTCTGATGTGCACCAAACAACCATACCGAAACCCAGCTGAAGAGGTGGTCTCGGTCCACTTCCAAACGAACTCTGGTACGGTTGAATGAATGAACCAATGAATGTATTACCTTAAGCACACGAGTGGTTTACAGTTTCTGGTTTACTTGCTAAAAGGGCAATGTGAAAGCGAACCGCACCAAACAAAAATAATCAACATTGTATTTGGTCCGGACCAAAGCAAGTGAACTAGTGGACTTTCCTGGTGTAAATACACCCTAAGGGTGCTTTCACACTAGCACTTTTGGTGCGCACCCGGCTTCGATTGACGTCAGAGTTCGGTTCGTTTGGATGATGTGAACGCTGTCTTCCGAACTCGGGTGCACACCCCTGAACCATACCCGAGTCCGCTTAAAAAGGGTGGTCTGGGGTACGGTTCATGTGAACTCCAGAACGGTTCGCTGTTGATGTGAACGCAATTGTACCAAATCACGGAAGTGAACCGCTTTTAATGACATATTATTTGATAAAAATGTGTGTTTGTGTGTGTTTCACTCACTTTCCTGACGAGCGTGACTGACGCGCTGCAACAGAGAGCTGTATATCTCATTTCTGTTCGCCTTCAGCTTTCTTTAGAGCATTTGCAGTACATTCGTAAGACAGACGTAAGTGCCGTTATGTACCGAAGCTTTGTAAACAAAACGAACGGTTCAAAAACGTAAATATATAAAAGTGCAGAGAGCAATGTTA